ATCGCTAAATTCTGGAAGCTTGCAATGTCCTGGTTCAAATCCACATGTTCAAACTTTTTGTTGTCATCAAAGTTACTAAATTCAAAGAAAGAGGATATCTCACTACTGAATCTCTGGCATTTTAGGGATTGTCTGTAACTAATTAAGGATTATAAATGTTGAATAACATCTGAACTCACAGCTGTGGAAAATATAATTGAGTGCAAATGAGAGGTCTTTCGCAAAGTTCAACATTCTTGGACCGACGTGATGGCAGTGTTCAAGCAAATTTTCAACTTCGAGGTTTCCTTTTCGGAACCATTTCGGTGTGCTGAACACGATTATGAGTTTTCAGTCGGAATGAAACAAAAGTAATTTTTAGGTAACAATTCTCAAGAACTGGGTGGGACTAATTGCAGAATCGTGCATTCAGCTTGTCCCGAGACGACCGTCTGATTTTTTTGACAAATGAATAAAAAACGAGAAAGGCCAAACATGGTCGAATTTACCTAGAATTCTTTAGGTGAAAATTTCCTTGCTCATCTCTGGTTATTTTTCAGTCAAATTTAGAGCTAAGCGGAAAGCGCTACAATAATGTAACCTCAAAAAGTCACGTTTTACTTGATACTGTCTTTAATATAAAGTCGGTGAGTGGGTTCTGGTCACACAGTGATAATAGCGCAAATAGTAGAAATTTTCCTTGTCAACAGTGGCTAGATTACACATTTGAAACGGGTGTTCAAATATTGTCTACTGTTTGCTCGCAAATTTTTGCTCTTTTATTTCGAAGTCTTCCCAGAACTTACCGATACAAGTTGAGGCAGGCTTGCACTCGGTATTTTAGCAAGAATTTCGCACCTTTTTCCACTACGTACAGTAGAAATTTTGTAAATGGCTTGAACTGCATGTCATGAAAAACGTTTGGTATTAACTCAAAGAAATCTGCACATTTTGCTGAGCGAATATGACAACATTTCGTACCGAAACTTCGGTAAGGCAAAGGTGACGGTAATGTTAATGTTCCCTATGTATCTTACTGTAATCATCCAGCGGACAAAACCCATTTTTGTGGAAATTGAAGTTCAAGCCCTCGTTTTCCTCAAGCTGAATCATCAAGGTAGAAGAGTTTACTGCTCAGTTAGTAGGCTATTATGTTTTTGCGACACATTGTAGATGTAAATTAAAGCAAGGATGAGTAAAGAAGTATAAATCGTATACAGTCATGACATCGTATCCCCAACCTTGTCATACATACTTAACAGTTCATGGATGCAAGTCATAGGAACTATCATTCTTCATGTTTTTTTCCCTCGAAAGTATGTTCCAAATTGAGAACTTGGGAGAGTAAACATTGAATCTAACTTTGTATTATTTTTGCTAAGTATTATTTGAATCTATAAAATTTGGGCTTAGTAACTTTCTGCTTCTTTCCGTCCCTATGATGCATTAGGAGGGCAAAAGTTGATTCGGAGCAAAAAGGGTACGAGAACAAGGATGAACCTAATATGCACATTCATTGCTGTGAGAGAAGGGCAGTAGTACTCTAGATGACTGAAAGCCCTCGGTCATCATTAAGAACGGCTCCTTAGGCTTTGAGCATTCTTTGAATATATTTGCATTTGCAATGGATTATCTATTGAGCAAGTCAAGATTAACCCTCATTTTGGTACATAATAAAGCGACAGAAAGCAAATTTCAAAGTTTTAAAGGTCTACATAATGTCTTAGTTTTTAATTACTCATAAGTCATAGTCATTTTCAAAGGAAATCTTCATTTTCAAACATATTGTTCATATTATGTACAGTAACGATATGCAAAATAGATTTTTCATCAGAGCTACTCTAGAAAGAAAGTTCTCTACAACCTTCGTGGAGATCACAATTCTGTTAAAGCACTTTGCGTAGGTATATATGAATGTCGACCATTCGTAGAGAGAACAGATAAATACTCTTCTCGACTGGATTTCAACCATGGCAGCCATCGGAAGACATGTCGAAAGCCAACTCGAAATCTAAAATTGAGCAGTTAATGTGGATGATAACTGCAATGTGTTTGAAAACTTTACCTTCTATTCATAAAATAGTAGATAATTGGATTGAATACAGTG